TTGGAAACAACGACGGTACCGCTAATACCCAGATCCGAGACAATATACAAAAGTTAATTTCTAAATTGACCCGGCCGGAGATAGAACCTGGTATCTCAGAGATGTCGATACCATGAAAACCGTTGCATGTACAAACTTTCTTTGTGTAATAAATTAATGTACGCTTCAATAATTTCACGTACATGGATACTTTCCGTTTATTAAAGATTTCCTGGAAACCTAAGGGCATAATTATGATATAGTTATAGCGAGGACGTGAGTTAAATAAAATAAATGGTATGCGTTGCGCGAGCAATCAGTTTTATTGTTTTCCGCGGTCCTTGTTGCGTGTTATATTGTACCAACAAAGGCATATTCAGAGAGATGCCATATGATGCATTGCTTCAGGCGTTGCGATGCCTGATGTTTTACTATATACATATATATTAGAACTACATACATTCCACGTGGTGCATTGAAATGGCACGAACGTGTGTGCATCGGACAAGGGGCCAGGAGACGAAGCGGGGAGCGGCTAAACGGCTTTAGACGTCGCGCAAACTTGTCTTGTGTTGAATATGAGTAACCGGTAACTAGAAGCGAATACTGCTTGTATCCAATAACGCACGTTTGCGCGTCGCCTTATGTTGCGACACCGCATTGCTCGCGAGGTACTCGGTGCGTTGAAATCATAGCGTTGCTACGACGCAATGCACTGCCAGCGCTCGTGTGGCATCGCTCTTGGTCAAATGTCTGGCTAGTTAATTTTATTTTAGGTCCTATTTGAAAATAAAAAAAGTAGTCGACTGTTGTTTTTTCATTTTCGTACAACCGGAGCAGCTTGTGCACCCGGGGGCTCACTCAAGACACTACTAGCCTTTTGAGAACCGGGTGATGTCTGTGTCAATGGGCTGATCTGGTGTCGGGACCAGGACCTGACTGATAAGGTCCCTTTGCAGACTTGCTTGCATAGGTTATAGTGCCATTCTCGTATACCTTAAGGGTCGGTGGAGAGGGTCATTATAAACAAAACTTATGTAGAAATGTAGGGAAGTCTTTTTTTTTTTTCATCTCATCATCAAATTTCGTTGAACAAGTTTTTTATTTATTAAACTTTTATTTAATCAATGTTCAACTAGTTTGTTTTATTATAGACACAACGAACAGAACTCGAACAAGCGTCTATTTGCCAAACCGGAGCTACCGCTTTTACCAACTGAGCTACAGATCGAGTCAGACTTTATGAATTTCCCTGTGTGTGTTGCAGATGTTTGTATTGCGTTTGTTATATATTTATTTAGAATACAATATATATTTTGTAAAATGAAATATATTCATTATTACTTTACTAGAGAATATTGCTATGGTTACCGGCATAGACAAGGGTTTAAACGGCGTTTTTGCTGTAGCGCCACTTTGTGAAAACTTATGAAAGTATCATCTTTGTATTAATAATATAATATTAAACTAGTGCAGTTTTTTCACAAAAAAATTAATATCATGGTAGTAAAAATATCATTCAATAAAATAATCAATAAAATAAGAAACGTAAAACTATTACAATTTTTGAATTTTCAGCCATTTATGCATTGTCACAAAATCTAAAAAAAGCATTAGGTTTAATTTCGGTTTTGTTCAATTAAGCCTTATTACCTCTATGTATAATGTTACTGTATAAGACTACCTCAAAAGATCTTTATTTAATTCTAATTCTTATTTAATTAAACACAAACGTTACTATTTTTTTAACCGACTTCAAAAAAAGGAGAGGTTCTCAATTCGACTCTATGTTTTTTGTATGTATGTTACGCGTTAACTCTACTATTTGTGAACTGATTTTGATGATTATTTTTTTGTTGAAAAGAGGGTGTACCTCAGATGTGGTCCACTTACATTTGAAGAAAGTATTCGACCTCTAAGGGTGGCAAACTAGGGGCTGAATGACTTTTAAGGTCGGTTTGTTTAGTACTCTGTACTGTTTTGTTATTTACTCTAAACTATCGGATAACTCACGTATTGAAGTCGAATTTTGGTTAAGTTCGAATTGGATTAAGGACGAAGGATTGATTCCAAACAAGTCAAGCAAAAATTCGACTTAAATACGTGACTTATCCTTTAATTTAATTAATATGTTTGAGTCTCACGGTGGTTTACTCTTTAAAATTATTTTTTTTGTGCTGCTAATGTGTCAGTAAGTGTAACTAATCACTTCGTGTACGAATTAACTTGCTATAAATGAAATACTTAAGCCGGATTTACATTTATCTGACGTGTCGTGTTGTGAAGCGTCAGAACGGTATCGGTTTCATGCATTTAATATGGTTACATTAGTGTGTCGCAATACTCGCAATCTGATGTGACGGCTTGTGCTGTATGTGCTGTTTTCTATATTTTTATTGTATTTAGGTAATTGTATCCAAAATAAAGTAGTTCTTTGTAACTTTATTAATATAATTTGTACTTACTAGAACTTATCACGTTACAAATATTTTATATACTCGTAAAAATATACATAATTTTTATAAGAAAGAAGATATCCAATAATATTAACCTTAGAGCTAAGTCCAAACTCATGGTACCACGATTTCGTTTAACCAAGGTAAACAACTCTTTTATGGGGAACTGTATACGTTTTTACAATAAGATTCCGGAGCATATATTAAGTTTATCATTTCCTAAGTTTAAAAACTACATTAAAAATATTTTGATCGAAAAATCATATTACAAAATTGAAGACTACGTGTTAGATAAAGATGTATGGAAAGACGACATGGCTCCAGAATCCACACAAATTTGATTCAAAGTGTATTCCATAGCATTTAAGTTTATTTGAAAAGAGCAATCCCTAGAGTTTCTTGCTCGTTCTTCTCAGGGAGCTCAGCGTAGTGAACGAGCAGTAGCTTAAATGTGACGATTTCAAGTGTAAATTTATTTTACCTATGGAATAAATAATCTTTGACTTTGACTTTGACAAGTATTGCGTAAAATTATATACAAGATGGCAGCGACAAACACATTGAACATGTTGCTTACATTTTACGAAACGACTTACGAGTGTAATGACCGATCGGCACCTTAATTAATATTTACTCAACAAAGAGCCTGAGATCTTATACATTTATCAAAGCGTTGGAGAAAGCAACTCGTCTCCAAATTGTTGGGTCTGACACAAGGAGTCTCAGTGAATTAAATCAGCGGTCGACGTTCTGAGGGCTGTTCTAGGCCTCTTCGTCTGAGGCCTATTCGTTAATGAGAACATTACTTAAAACTTATATTAGTAGATGTCAAGGAGGGCGGCGACGTGCGCGGGCAGGCGGTTCTGGCCCGGTTCAACTATGATTAATCACCATCGCGTGTACTCAACGTTCATAAAAATATTTACCCAGCAATTTCTTACCATCACCGATAATTATGCTTCAATATGCATCTTGTGTTCTACATTCACGTCGCGTGACACGACCGATTAGATTTCACGTCCGTTTACCTCTATTAATCAAGTGTTAAAATTCCCTAGTAAGCATCGATTCCAGCCGTTAGAGCCCTTGAATGGCATCTTGAGTTATAAATAACTTGTTTGAGTGGTAAATGATACGCTATAAAATGGAGTTTAGGTTATTGGGATTGCCGGTAGCATCTGGAAAAAAACTGCTTCAAATGAAAAATGACTAATAATAACGTAATTTAGCGTTTACACGTTTTTCCTTTCTTTTTTGTTGCATAAAAAAGTGAGTTGCATAAAAGAGTTTAAAGTTCCATGTTCTATTACATTTTTTTTAAAGCTCCGCACTAGGGAAACCCTGTGTCGCGGGTGCAATGGACAAACACAAATTACATCCAAACTCACGAGAGAAATATATGTAGGTCATACAAATATTTCTCCCGGCCCGGGAATCGAACCCGGGACCTCTGCGTGGCAGTCAGGCATGGTAACCGTTCGGCTACAGAGGCAACTAAATCGTTTTATATAACAATCATTTATTTGATGACCTCGGTGGCTCTATGGTATACATTGAATGAGGAGGTCCCGGGTTCTATTTCCAGTAGGACCAATTTGAGAAATCAATTTTTCTAAATTGGTTCCGGTCTGTGTGTTCTGGGTAGTGCTCCAGAATGAATTCTGTTGCTCCGGCATTCAAAGGACAGGGGGTTCCCTAGTTTGTGACCCGGTAATTTGTATGACTTAAAAAAAACTTGAAAAGGTGTTTTCCCTAGCTGTGTGGAATTTTTATTGATATCTTTATGTCACATGGTATTTGTTTCCTAATAAAGACAAAACAGGTTCCAAGACAAAAGCAAGCCTGTAAAATGTATGCCAATTACATCGAGTTTATAACCAGAAACAGTGAGGAAATAGGGGCCATTCATACCTGGCAACTCATTAGTTATATGGTACTGATATTACTTTTAAATATCGACTCTCGTTTGCACTGATATCAGAAATGAGTACAGCGTCAACAACTGACCTGTGTGTACGTCTCCGTATATTCGAAAAATTTTCTGTATTTATTGTAATAAAGATAATATCTCTAACAATGGGGGGATGTTCCATTCGGTGATGTGGGAAAAACGGCAAAATATGTAATTACAAAACCATGGGAATGACGTTTCATCGGTAATTATATATTAAATAATGTAATTTTTCAATTTTCGTCCATTATAGCAACGCTCAAGTTAAACTGGTTGATTTGAAGTCAAATAATTGACAACACCCGTCAATTGTTTCGAATTCGGGCTGGTCACAGTAGCGCAGTTGTTACCGTAATGATATGGCAGAATAGTTTTCAAACAAATTAAATAACAATAACAATAATAACATAATAACAACTTTTAATAATAAAAATTACATTTCGTCTCTATTTCTGGTTATATACTCGATGGCCAATTATAACAGACTGTCGAAAATCCATCAATACAGCATGTTGTTGAATGTAAGAAAATAAGAAAATATAAGAAATGTTTCTTATTCAACTTTCAAAATACTTTAAGAGTGATGATAATTTGTATGATAAGAAATGACTAACCTCTACAATAGCCTTAGGTATCCAAGTGACAGCGATAAATAAGCTCTCCCTCAAGGAGAGTTCGTTGGCGAGCGAAACCAGGAACGCCGTTATTAACCGCAGGAACAACGCGCAGAATATACATGCTATTATTAAGCAAAACTCCTTCATAGAAATTTGTGATACCTGTGAAAATTACAAAACATACCACCTAAACTAAAATTCATTAGCAGCTGACCATTTCATACTGTTGGTAAAAAAAGACTTATGTGATCATACGACAAAAATGTATTTAGACGATTAACACACTGCACCGCGACACGCGACAGTGTGCGGGACGCGGAATCATGCGCGCGGTGGCGGAGACGCAGATCTGTATCAACGCGCGGTAATCTGCGCGGGGGCAGCGATCTAATAGCCCCGCGCCACTACTCACTACTTAAAGTACTAGACCTGTGTCGGTCGATCATTTTTGATAACGCGGTTCGATTATGACCCATGCGTAGCGTGATCGGGTCAAATGATTCGATCATATGTTCGATATTTTAGCGGGTTAGCCGTCCCTCATGATACTTCCATTAAAAGTGTAAAATTATACAATTAGCTTTTATTCTCTCCTGCTGATTGGTAATGTGTCTATAGTTAAATGCATCATTGATAAACCACACCTAGAACACTAAAATTTCCTTCTAGGAAAAGTAACGGTGTTACAAAACAAAACAAAAACACATAACAAAAAACTTATGAGCATTCAAAATTACTAATTTATTATTCATTAATATTTTAATACTAGCTAGTGCACTCTTAAATAAACACAATATACCGAAAAACAGATTAAACTGACGAAATTAACATGTAATGGACACTACGCCATGGAGCAATTAGGATGAATGATTGATAGACACATTGATCCGTTAACCCGTTGACCTGTTGACTCGTTAATCGATTGCTTGACTTTTTGGTTCGATCGAAAGAAGGTTCTATCACACGAATGCTCTATCGCACAAATGTTCGATCCAAACGAAGAGTGAGAAGGCGAACCGTATCGTGAGTCCCCACTCACTTCACGTGAGAGTGAACGACAACAATAATATTGTGAATTGTTGAAGAATCTCTAAAATTATAGTGATAAAGTCATATATTGCGCGCATGACCCATGAAACTCTAAAATAATCGGGTTATTTAGAAGCTAGTAACCGTGTTATCGGGTTACAGGTGCTGTTCGAATCATTTTGATTCGAACGAACACGATCGACAAACATCTATAAAATACTCACTTCGTAGTTGGTCGCCGTAGTGATTGTACATGTTGCTGAGATCCTTCTTTGACAAGAATAGTTCATAATACACAACTCATTCAGAGCGTCCTGCAGTTATAGTGCCTATTTTGTTTACCCAAATAAAAAGACATCGAAGATATTGGATATACCTTTTTACGACTCAGATCGATAAATTGATAATTTCAACTTCATTACAAAGATTTAAGAAAATATGAAGATAATTTTTTCAACTACACATATGTTAACTGAATCCTTTGATTATTTGTTAGAGAAAATCCAAACGACAATTACTGGAATAGACACAAATTGATTAAAAACCTGCGGGGTAGTGCGGAGCGAAGTGTGCCAGACCCTACGGTTCTCCGCGCCACTCGGCGCGCGCCGGAGAAGAGTTGTCAGTGTGTTGGACGGCGCGTGTTTTCCATACAAACTGAAGTACTTTAGTATAACGTCAAAAAACGCAGCTCCGCGCTCCATTGCGGGGCGCGGTGCAGTGTATTAATCGCCTTATCACATGAAAACGCCGTCGTAACCCACTTCATAAAGTATTCTACGTTCCACCAAATCGTGCTAACTATGGCCAGAATGAGATCGTTTCGCGCCTTACAATTATGTACAACAAGTTTTTCTCCTGAAAAGTTGTCAATTGCAGATGTGGTTTTATTACTAAGGATTCTTCTTATTGGAAGTATCTAAATTAATAAAAAATCGTCGGTGATAGTTCAAGTCCGCGTATGTAGTATTTATTGATAAAAGGCGCGTATGTGCACCAAACCAAACTTTAATTTTTACTGTGCAAACTTTTGCACAGTAAAAATTAATTTATGTTGTCTACGGACTGACAACAATAGATTCCCGTAAATCACGCTAATTTGGTTGCCACAATATTTACGTGGACTAAATTATCGAAACGGAGATTCATAATTAAATGCTAGTCACGCGTAATTGCACCACCCCCGACGAAATGTCATATTTTACTGAATTGTCATGCAAATATAACAATGATTTTGTAAGAAGTTATGATATAATAGAATGTATGGGCTCTTGTTTTTTTGCCGCAGTAAAGATTACCACCTTTTTAATCGACTTTAAAAAACGGAGGAGGTTCTCAATTCGACTGTATTTTTTGTATGCATGTTACGCGATAACTCTAATTCATGAACTGATTTTGATGATTCTTTTTCTGTTGGAAAAAGAGTACCTCAGTGTTGGTCCCATTTAATATGAAGAAAATATTTCACCTGTAAGGTGGCAAACTACTAAACTGGTTTTTAAAACGTGAAACATTTTTCGTTGAACTTTTTGTGTCATTAAGCTTTCAATTTCAAGTATCAAAATACATCACAACTCGGAACTTAGTGATGTAAGAAAGAAAAGGAAAAGACAATTAATTACCTCCATTATATTGGAAAAAGTTTCAGGTTGGTTTATGAAGCAATTTTACTACTAATTAATATATTCAGGCGTTACTTTGCGGAAATTCATGTTAATAAAAATGGAAGTAAATTACACACACATACATGACTACACACATGATTATACACTTCACAGACACAGTGAAGATTACATCGTGCTAATAACACACGTGTCGTGTATATTTTTTTGTTTTGTGACTATAGTTGCGCTTGTGTTATTTATTTTATTAATTTAATGCGGAAGGAGTGTGGAAAATATAATACATTAAAAAAAAATTGTATACACTGAGTTATGGGAGTAGGAAATAATTTACTCCCATTTTTAATTAAATTATTATCCAGGTATGCGGTTGATAGCAACCACACCGTTGTCATTTGTCTATTTCCGATATACGGCGTGATGCTTGCAATTAATCCATTTAATTAATAGATGCATGTTTTTAAGTTGCTACAGGGAAATTGTTGAACAAAAATCTTTTTCATCGTCTGAAAATTTTGCTTGTTTGGATGCGGGCGAACAGTTAACCCCTTAACACAGTGATTTTTCCTTAGGAAGGCAAAATTTGCACACCATGCACTATTGACACGTTCTTTTCAAATATTTGAAGTTCGTTGCGTGTACGCGTTAATTCGGTATGTTTACTAATTTTGCTACAATGGTACCTGATAACATTTTTAATTACTTACATCCAAGAAGTAGCCACTAAGCGTAAACAGCATGGGTTCAAATATTCTCCAAAGCACTTTGTACACTTCAGAGACAGGGTTGTTGTTGAGTGTCCATCCTCGGCGGGACCATCGCGTTGCGGCTGCGCTCGCGCACACCATTATTGCTACTCCCGCTGAAATTTATGTAAAATTTCTGCCTTGTGTGTTGTATATTACTTTAATTCATTTCTATTTACTAATGAATACTTTAATGAACAGTTAAGAACATTTAATACTTTACGTAAATGTTTGTGCCGATTTTCAGAAAACTTGTCGTTGTTCCTTCATTAAATACTAATTGCAACAGAAAACCATTAGAATAGATACAAAAAAGATTATAGAGTTTTAATCGGATTCACGCGTAATTAGCGTTGAACTAAACAGGGAAATTTGTGACGACCTTCAATAGGTAAAGACCAAGGATTATGGATATAATAATGACGTCTTTTCGTATCTTGAGAAGACATGCCTTTATAGACATTTCCACTAGGTTATCATCAAATTTAGGATAACATGAATGCGATAAATTAACAATTAGGTTATAATTATTAATACAAAGACCGAACAAAAACAAATATTTCGTCGATCTGACAGCTCTCGATGCCAATCTAGAGTATTCAGACGCAGGTTCGAGTTTTGTCAGACCAAAGGAACTTTGTGTTCGATCCCTGTATTAATAAAATTATAACAAACTAGTTGAGTCATTTCACAAAAAAAAATTGAATATCATGATAGCAAACCATTACTCAATAAAATCAGTATTAACTTTTATTTTTATTACATACTAAATTAATATGTAATTAATAATGTATAATTAATATGTAAAATTAATATGTAATTGGTATTCAAAAACAATATTCGATCCTCTTTTTTTATTATTTATCTTTTATTTTAACGATTGATGACATTAAATAATAAGTACCTTTTATCTTTTAGTAATCTTTTGATATTGATCTCCTAATAAATTTTGGTTGCTTGGTTGCGCCCTCCATTCAGTAGGATAGGTTAGGTTAGGTTAATATTCATATATTAAGCAGCCAGAAGCCAATTTGCTTTGGAAATTATGCGTTTCCTAACTGTTTTTCAGGTCAAATTATATTATGATTAATATAATATTAGTATACAAATATAATCAACATTTACTTAGTTTTAAAAACAAGTATCTAAATTGGTCTTAGTTTTGAGACCCAATATAAAACTATCAACGTTAATTTGTAGAAATCAAACATTTTTGCGTAGCTCAGAGATATAAAACATAGATGGATTTAGTTTATTTTATGTCGTAGAGGAAAAGGATCAATCATAAAAAAAGATGACCGCTTAGAGTATTTTTGCCAGCTGCTATTGCAAATTTAAAAAGATCATTTAAACACATGTCATTTATAATCCTGAAATCTAAACAGTAAGATTTGACTAGTAGTGTATAAAAATAGCCGTAGCGTTGATTGAAGCAATTGAGGCGAGACTGACAAAAGCGAGTACAATTAGTGCTGCCACATACAGCTCGCCACTGACCACTTGTTCCCATTGTGATACAAATTAATTGAAGACCACTGAAGCGTCGGCTTGGAACGCTTCTATAATAAATGATTTCGTGAACAATCAACCGCATAAGAAAAAATTAGTTCAACAGTATCAGTAGAGCTCCTTGTGACAAAGTTCGTCCAGAGAAGTACTGCCACCTTATCTATTCTCCCGCCAAGCAGTAATGTGAGCATTACTGCGTCCGGCTTAGAAGAGTAAGGGTGCTGGTGAAACTACAGACACACAGGGTTTTGTCTTATGTCTCAGGGTGACGGGTCACTGTCCATAAGAACTTTGCGATTTAAAGCTCTGAGTGGCACTGCAACTGTTATGGATGAGCGTGTCGCATAAAAAAAAAGCGGGGATAACTAATGAATTACATATAAACTTATGAATCTGTAGGTACACAATAATTATAGAAATGGTTAATATATTTCTTACCAGGATCTCGACTCTGACTAGGTAGTAGAGAGTTTGCACCCTTTGGAGTCAAAATCCTTGGCCCGTGGGATTCCAATGCCCGTGATGATGGGCAAAATTTTAACAAAAAAATTAATAGACTGCCTGGGAAACCCAAGGGCCGGTTACATTGCCCATGGTATTTGCATAGCTATACAAAGGGGGAACGATGCCAGCATTTCGGGTACCTTCCACGTAGTCACAATTTTATTCACATAATTTAATCGTAGTTTTAGTTTTTAGTATTTAAGCTTATATTGCATTTTTGTACCTTACCTATAAACTATACAATGCAACCCAATGCTACTTGTACTCTATACTTCATATCTCTAATTTGTCAACATGACTGCATTACTTATTCTCTTTGTTATTATATTGCCGTCTATCGGTTTTCACATCTTTCTGTTACTTTCATCCTTCCTTATTAAACATATCGTAACGTACCTATTATTTCGTTATTTATATAGCACAATACCCGCTTCATACTTATACAAGAATATTTGGTATAAAACTTGTTTCAAGATCACTGGTCTGTTGTTACACGTTGTCTAACTTTATTAATCTAATATTTAAGCTAGGTGAGGAGCGGTTACTTGGGTCAAAATGTTATTTAGTTACTGGACCTGCAAGTGGACCTTCGACCTGACTTAGGAAGGGATGTACTCGACTTGTTGCTTTTAATTTTGGTATGGCAATGTATTATTATAGGATTTTAATAGAGAATATTTTTCACGGAGTGTAATGAAAGGTTTGACATCGTTACCGTCACTAGAAAGCTTTTGACTCTTTAACAGTATTTCCCAGCATTACTTTGTTTTTTTTTTATGATACCAGTAGTTCGCCTGATGGTAGCGATACATCGGTCCATAACAGTGGCAGTGCCACTCAGAGCTTCAAAACACAAAGATCTGAGGGGCACTGCTACTGCGCTCGTCATCCTGAGACATAAGTTGATAAGTCTCATGTGTAATTTAAACAGCACCCCTTATCGTTCAACACCGGAACGTAGTAATGCTCACATTAATGCTTGGTGGCAGACAAAGGAAAGGTGGCTGTACTCCCCTGGACGAATTCTTTTACAAGGAGCTCTACTGCTATAGATGGCATATTTGTAGCTTCTTAAATTTTTGTAAAGTATACATACTTGAAAGGGTTGTAACCCTAACTAGCCGTGAACAGGTTCACGGCAATGAAATTGGGAAACTTCCGGTCCACAAAATTTATTAAAGAAGTAAAGTTTAAAGAAAGGCTGTAACAATATAAAGGTAAATGTAAAAAAACAGGTATAACAGTATAAAACACTCCCTACACTTTATTATTAAGTCACTTACCTCTAAATGGGCCGAGTAACTGAATTACAGATTTAGGTACACGAAGGCTGTAGACTTATAAATTATTACACACGATAACTTATTAAATGATTACAAACGTAGTAAAGAACCAAAATTAGCGATTATTCGCGATGGAATTTGGAACAGCTCCGACTGTTGTGGCTGTCGAGCTGGGAGTGACCATGGTACGAAAACAAAATGAGAAAGTGAAGGAAGATGGAACAATTCAAATTTAAAATTTAAATACATGTAAAATAAAAAATGATAGGATACAAGCGGAGAGAGGCGATACAAAGAGGTGAGATGACGATGTAAGGAGGTCACACACTTGCTTGTAAATTACATATATGAAAAAAATTGCCTTAGTCGTCAGATATTGCACAATACCTATTTCCCCAGACGGCGGTTGGCTCAATAAAATTCAATACAAGTATTTGGTGATGACAACCTATCTACACAGAAAAGCGGCCCGCTGCCATTATTTCGTGTCTTTATTGTCAGCCTGAACAAATGTTCCTTATTGCAACAGTATGGGATATAGTCAATATAGGTAAAAACTGAAATTTATTCGGATTTAACTTTGTTTTTTATTCTATTTTCGACAACTAGCCTGGTAAAAAACATTAGTACTTCAAAATTTAAAATCAATTTAATAAATTTTCCCAATTACAGTGGATAAACGCAGATTAGTAGTGGCCTTCGTCGAAATCCAAGAGAAAAAAACTTAAGTTCAGCAAAAAAACTGCTCCATTGAATAATCACTATGATAAATAACATAATACGACAAATAACTGAACACTGCCTCGTAAGACTTTTCATTGTCTCCTCAAGGGTTCGATTCAGTACCTTAAGATAGCTCAGTTGTCGACCGGTTTCTTTTCATTTTTATTCACAACACCCGAATCGAACGTTGAACTGTCGTATTCGAAACCGAACCGAAATGACGACACACCTGTACGATTACTCGTACTTCTCGACCGGCAAAGACTACAAACGTTATTCAGAACACAGTTATCGAATGAAAGTTACCGATCGTCTTATTGTTTACAAAGCAAGAATGTAATATGGAAATATCTTATTATTTTAAATAAAGTCTGGATTTTGTTCAATTTTATGAATTTATTATAATGCAAGACTAATGCATTCCTATATTTTAGGCCTTTAAAGTCTTAAAAATGTATATATAAAAAAAATTTCTTATAATCTATCTCACTGACTAACTCCGTAAACACTGTTGGATAACGATATCGTATCCGAATCTGAATCGATCGTTTAGCTCGAATGTTCTGAATAGTTCGGAAAGCGCCCTTCAATTCGAGAACGATATCCAATCGAACGGTTCGGTTTAAACATCGAAGAGTTCCGAATCGGGGTCCAGGTCTAGTTCAAAAGCCAGAGAGTTTTTTTATGTTACCAAGTGACAGGTGTCAAGCGATAACATTACCTGTCACCCTGAGATGCAATTTGTCAAGTCCCATGTGCCTGTAATTCCGTCAGTAGATACCTTTAATTTATACTTCAAAATTGGAACGCAGTGATGCTCTCATTATTGATAGACGGCAGAAATAGGTAAGGTGGGAGTATTTCCCCGGACGAACTCTTTCACAAGGAGCTGTACTGCTATTTTTCTTAAATTTATTATGGCATTCTTCTATTTTCTGTTTTATTTTTTATTATTCACACTTATGAATCTTCTGGTTTCTAGGCGGATGTTTTCAATTCTGTACTATTTGTGACGATAAAGTATTTAATTAAAGATGTAACGTTGTAATAATAAGTAAATTAAAAAAAAATATATATATATATATATTATATTTGAATTAATGTGCAAATTACTTACAAATACCACCCCATCCAAGGTAACCGCCAGCATATGTCATTAGAATGCCGATTGTGAATATGAAGAGACTGCGAATGGTCGGCGCGTATGTATCCGTATGTTCAGGTAGATAGTCCATTATGACGCCTAGGATAATACCTAGTCCAATGCCAACGAATATTGCCAATAGAGCCTGTAAAGATGTATAATAATATATTTATTATCCAAAACAAAATAATTTACAGTGCTTCTTAAATCTAACCTACTGAAATGCTATACTTTTATTAGCCTACTACAAAAAAAGGAGAATATTCTCAATTCGAATGTATTTTTTTGTGTGTGTATGTTACGCGACTACTCTGGCATTTGTGAACCGATTTTGATGATTCTTTTTTTGTTAGAAAGAGGGTACCTCAGTATTAGTTCCATTTAAATTTGAAGAAAATATTCCACCTCTAAGAGTAGCAAACTAGGGGAGGAATCCGGTTTACGATAACCGATTATTAACTTTTTAGTTTTAGTTTGTATGTATATGCAATTAAAGTTTCAAGTCGGTTCCTTTGTTTTTAATATAAATTACTCTTATATATCATATTTTCACTTATTTTTCGAAATGGCGCACATTGGGAGTCGCCTACGTTCAGTAGTGGACTGCAATAGGCTGAAGTGATTTGTTTTTCAATTAGTTGTGATTGTTTAGTGCTCGATTATTTAAGATTGTGAAGTACTTCGGTAGCCCTCTGTACTACTTACTTGAGTAATGATTGGTACTCCATACAAACTTTCACCCCTACGATGTCTATGTCCTTCTCATAGGTCATGTGATAGACAGAGTTATTCGCATTTATAATATTAGTTTTGATATATAAAGCGCAGGCCACACCGTAAATGAAGCTAGATAACTTAGGTTAGCTCACGTAATTGCACGCAAAGCTAAACTAAGAAAATACGTAGTACGTAGTAACTATCGACACGTGCGGGGGTGAAGGACGGCAGAAGGGCGACACATTTTACATAGCTAGCGGAATCACTGGGTAAGTTTAGCTCGGTTAGCTTAGTTCGTGGTGTGAACCGAAGTATGGAAAGATGTCCCAGCTACGTGAGCTAAGCTAAGCTAAGTTTCATAATTGAAAACTTAATTGTATAATATCTAATTTTACTACACAAACTTGAAAAAAATATAAGAAATCAGCAGATCCATTGCACAATACCTATTTCCCCAGACGGCAATTGGCTCAATAAAATTCAATACAAGTATTTGGTGCTGACAATCTACCTACACAGGAAAACGGCCCACTGCCATTATTTCGTGTGTCTTTATTGTCTGCCTGAACAAATGTTCCTTATTGCAACAGTATGGGATATAGTCAATATAGGTAAATACTGAAGTCTGTTCGGATTTAACTTGTTTTTTTATTCTATTTTCAACAACTAGCTTGGTAAAAAACATTAGTGCTTCAAAATTTAAAATCAATTTAATCAATTTTCTAAACTACAGTGGATAAACGCAGATTAGTAGTGGCCTTCGTCGAACTCCAAGAGAAAAAAAAATTAAGTTCAGCAAAAAAACTGCTCCATTGAATAATTCCTATGATAAATAACATAATACTCGTAAGACTCCTCCTCCTCCTCCTCTGAGGAGACAATGAAAAGTCCGGAGAGACTACGGGCTCATTATATACTATTTATCACTAATTTTACTACACAAACATGAAAAAAATATTAGAATTCAGCAGGTCGATTCAGAACCTTATGATAACTCAGTTGTCGAAAGATTCGATTTGATATCGTACGATTTCTTTTCATTTTTATTCACAATACCCGAATCGAACGTCATAATGTCGTATTCAAAACTGAACCGAAATGCCGTCACATCCGTACGATTACTCGAACTTCTCGACCGGCAAATGCTACAAACGTTATTCAGAACACAGTTATCGAATGAAAGTTACCGAACGTCTTTTTGTGTATGTACAAAGCAAGAATGTAATATGGAAATCTCTTATTATTTTAAATAAAATCTCGATTTTGTTCAATTTTATTAATTTATTTTAAATCAAGACTACTGCATTCCTATATTTTAGGCCTTTAAAGTCTTAAAAATGTATAAAAAAGAATTTTCATTTTTTTTATTATCTGTTTCACCGATCAACTTCGTAAATGCTGTTGGATAACGATATCGTATCCGAATCGAACGTTTAACTCGAATGATCTGAATAGCTCAGAATGCGCCTTTCAATTCGAGAATGATGCCCGATCGAACGATTCGGTTAAGATATTGAAGAGTTCTGAATCGGGGTCCAGATCCATAATTACCTTAATAATTTTGTAAACGAGAGTAGCTTGGATAAATATGGCGCTATTAATGACTCCACACATGCCTTCTGTGAAAGCAGTATCGAGCCCTCCGGCATTTGCGACCAGGTTTGATATTTGGTTCTTAGCTCCGAGCCCTCGTGCACTCAGCTTCATCACAGTTGGCACTACGATCGCTGGTGATACGGATGCCAGAATTGATCCTAAGTGCAAACCTATAACAACATGAAGTTTCAACTGTAGTTACTGTGACCTGTGATTGCTTCAAATCGACGCTCTTCCAAGAATGAAGAGAGAGAGAGAGAGAGAGAGAGAGAGTAATCATTGCCTAGTACTCTTGGATAATGCTGAAACGTGGAGTTGTATCAATTAACAACTTCATGGAATGCTTGCAAGATCGAGTCAGAAAGCTCTACAACATTTTTTTTAATAATTTGCCATTAGTGAAATCGTAGCCTTGGTATACCAAGGCCAGATC